GAGAGATTCAAGTTAAATTGGATTCCTCTTGCTAAGATAACAAAGTGCTAATATAACAATGATTTATTAATCTAAGTGTAAAGAATTTAATTTTTTTAAATAAAATTTTAAGTTCGAATTTTATTAATAAAAAATAGACACAAAAAGAACTTTTTTTTAATGAGGTTCAACCCGATTTAATTTTAAATTAATCGAAAATCAGTGTGATTACCATATATCGAAAAATTAATTTAAAAAAAAAAAAAAAAAGCAAAAAAAAAAAAAAAAAAGAAAAAAAAAGAGAGGATAAGCTTAAATAGTTTTAACATGTGACCGTAACCATAATCTCATTTTATGTTTGCCTCAATGGAGAAGTAGAACAATTTTAATGATGAGAATAATAATGTTGTACAATATAATTATAAACAGTACAACTTAATTTTAGATGAAAAATAAATAATTAATATTAAGAATTATTGAAAGAAACTTATTAACTTAGTAACTCAACAATTTAATATAAGTTTTTTCCACCATGACAAAGATTCGATTCTTTCTCCCCTCCCTCCTCCTTCCTTCCTTCTCCCCCCAAGCGTTTGCTCTAATGAAAAAAAAAAAAGAATTATTCTTTCATTTAATATTTTTTTATTTTATTATTATTTTTTTTATAAAATTAATAATTTTAATAATAAAAAATTAATAAGACCACCATGACACTGTCCATCTGAGGTGTTACCTAATTAATAAAATTCCAAATCAATAATGCAATTCCACTATATCCCCTCGTTTGCCTTTATATACCCCCATGGTTCTCCCTTCTTCTTCCCCCTTTCTCTCCTTTTTCTTCCTTCTTTCTCCACTGGTTTCGCTTAATTCCCCCATTTCCATTTCAGCTCCATTTTCCTCAACAGATTTTCTTCATGGAGGATCCGAGTCTAATAGTAACGGCCATTATATTAGCCGTCTTGAGATGGGCCTTATCTTGGGTCCTCAGTTTCCGAAACAGAGGCATTTTTCCTCCTTCAGATTCCGAAGACAACAGTTCTGGTACTTGTTCTTCTTCCTCTTCGCCGGTTTCCTCACAGGCGATTCGGGACAATCTCGTACTGGCGACTTTCGAGGACGTCAAAGAGAGGCTGCCGTGGGTTTCCGACACCTGTGCTGTTTGCCTAGGGCGGCTGGCGGAGAGGGATGAGGTGCGGGAGTTGAGGAACTGCTGCCACGTGTTCCATCGAGAATGCATCGATAGATGGGTGCATCATGATCATGATCATCATCATGAGGATAATAATCATAAGACATGCCCACTTTGCCGGGCCCCTTTGCTCACTTCTTCTCAGGCCTTGAGTTGGCCCAGGAACGAGCCCAGTTGGGCCGTCGAGCGGTTGCTTTACCTTTTCGGCGACGATCTGCTTCCTTGATTTTGGCCCTTTTGGGCTTGTTAAATGGGGCCATCGCTCGATTTTCTAATGTTGGGCTACTGCTTCGGCCTTTGCGCTTGTACATCTAAATAAATATATATAAAATGTTTTTTTTTTTACATGTGTCAATCTCAAGATACATGTTAATAATATTTTTTATGATAAATATATTTAATGTAAAATAATTGAAGAACC